ACCCCAAATGGAGAAGTTGAGTAGGAGCAGGATCTTAATTTTAAACAATTTCACTCTGCAGATGAGTAGAGAGCAATAGGCCGGTGTTATTGTTCGTGGGCAGCCCTCAATCTTCTCCAGCACCAACTGCAGTGCTGAAATCCTGACCAAGTTTCAAGCAGGGTCAAGGTGATGAAGGTGAGTGAAAAGGCAGACAGGAACAGCATTTAGAAAACAAAGTGAAGGAAAAGACACAAGAACAACATAAACAAAAGTTATTGAAAAGAGGTAACAATAACAGAGAGTAAGACTAATGGGTTTTAATTTTTTTTCTTTTAGCGTACTGGAGTCAAAGTGAAGTCCTCACTTTTCCTAAGAAATAACAGGCCATTACACATTTTGCAGAACTAGTTCTTTGGGGCTCTTAAGTTTACGTCTCCTTCCCTGCTCCAAGGGGTCACACTATCCAGGATTTCAGTTGGTTTGACCATTCAGTTGGCTTGGCCATGAATACCTACTTAAGACATAAGAGAGTCTTAGTTTTAATTTTCCACACCCCTGATCCTTTGACTTAGTCTTAATGAAGAACTTAATCAGCATGTATACAGAAACCTATGAAACAACTCAGTGGTTATTCATCCGAATTACTAGGATGAATTTCTCTAAGGCTGGCCATCTCCTTCTTCTGACATGCTCCCTCGTTCCAGGGGCAAACGATGCCCCCCACTGCGGCCTCAGGAATTAATGAGTTCAGTGGATTTTGCTCTAATGCACACATGTATTTGACAGCATATGAACACACGTTTCTAGTCACAGTCCTCATGAAAAAGTAACTGCTAATATCAAAACCTAAATGATGTCGGGGACCCCATGAACTTGCTGTTGGAAAGGCAGTGACAGCAAAGACTGTCACTATTTTATTTTCCTAAAAAAACAGGGAAAAGGATGTGTTTTTAGGAAGTCCTTCCCATGAGATCAAACCAGACAGGCTGGAGATGTACAGAGGTATGAACTGGGAGTGGTGCTTTCACGCAGCCCCTTCGCTAAAGGCGATCTGCAGTGGGAAGCTGCGCTGCCACCCGTCCCCCCACGCTGCCACTGCCACGGGCCCGGGTGGGTGCCGGGAGCAAGGTGTGGGGACCTGCTGTCAGGGGTGAAAGGCAGAAACTCCCATTCTGGCATCAGGCAAGATGCCGTGTGAGAAGGGTGTTAAACATGCCATGCCGTGGGCAGCAGCCAACCCCGCTCTCACTGTTGGCACCAGTTTTAGCTTTACTGCTCGCAGCAGTGAACGTCGCTGTTTTTAGTGACCTCAGGGTGCATCTCAGAGATCACCAGGGTCCAAGTTCATAATTCCTCAGCAAAAAACTGCCATGCCTCAAGGTTTAATGTCGATGACAGTGAGACATACAAATGGACAACTTTTTTTCTTTATAGATAGTGCCCAGTAGCCTTCAATATTATCTTTCATTGAGTATGTGACCTGGCAACTGTTTGTCCCTGTTGTGTCTATGGCAATACTAAGAAATTAAACCCTTGATTTTTGTTTCTTTCATAGTTAGTAAGGGCCACATTCCAGTTTCAAGGGCATGGATATAGCAGACGAGACTGAAAACTGCATGACTTTGCACAGGTCTGGTCATTGCATGTCTCACAGTGACAACTTCAGGAAAAACTGCTTTGCAAATTGATGCTCTCCTTGAGGTGTGGTTAGTCAATAGGTGGCTTTGTGTAATAATAACAAAAAATAACTTTAAAATTTCAGTATTATCTTCTGCAAAATAAGCACACAGCAACATACCCTTAGAGAACCCCTGTATGCAAACATCAGTGTATTACATAAAAAACTTGCTTTAGAGATTAACTATAGAACACTCTGGGTAGTCCCATATCAAAACCACTGTGGCTTAGGGTACAGACAGCTTCTCACACCCTTGTTTGTTTGTTGCAAGTCTGAGCTGGGGGAGACTATGGAAATTTTTGCAACATTTTTATTAACAATATGCATGACTCAAGTTTCCTCACCTTTCCGAGCCTTGCCACGCATCACAGTAAAGAGGTTAGCTTCTTCCCAGGGCTGAGGGAAGAAGGTGGAACCACTGCACATTGCAGCCCAAACCAGTACAGATAAGGGACTGGTGACTAACAGTGTGAATATTAACTCTTCACTGTCATTCGCCAAGAAACTTGGACAGAAAAGGACCAGAAAGCAAAAGAACAGGGTCTGGAATCCTCACCGTAACTCAGAGCCCAGACCCAAGGGCGCGCTGGCCGCAAGGTGCCCGCAGCAGCACCCTCGGGCTGGCACGATGCTCTGGGCCGGCCGAGGACCGCGGCTGAGAACGGCATGGCTGTGGGATGAAGGAAACTACCCGCATCACTGCGGCCACCACCAACTGCCTCAAGAAGATGAGGAGCCCAAGGAAAGTTACAATTCCTACAGACTTCCTGGAGGGCCAGAGAGAGGAAAGTCTCTCCACAGTCAGATATTTATTGATGATAAATAATGTCTATTTATGTAAAAATCAAAGGGTCGGACAAAGAATTGAAAAAGATAGAGGGACACGTGCTAGCTTAAAGACAGGACACAAATAAAGCCCACAAAATCAAGCACCCTGCAGATGCCCACTGAAGGGATTTGGCAAAGTGACCCAAACAATACGTAGCACAGAATGAAGAGCTCTTAACCTGGTCGGTAGCTTTGACACCTGTGTAAAAACTATCTTCTTGATTTAGGGAGACTCATTAGGGAGCCTGTGGGGTCAAATAAAGAGCTGTCTGGTTTCTGCTCTTTACATTCATTTGAAATTCCTTTTGTCAGACTCCAACAACAGCTTCCTAGCTTTAAAATCTTGTCCCCTCCTGGATGTCATTCCTCACCCTCTCTAAACTCCACAATTACTCCCGTGCCCTTTGCAGTTTCTGTGAGCACCCCAAGCTTTTCTTTCTTCCTTCCCTGATGTTACCCTGAATCTTATCTTTCAGCACCTTATACCTCTTCAGTCAAAGTTTCCTGCCAACCCCTCACAGATGTGCCCTATTGCCGCAGACCATCTTCCTGCACAGCCTGAACTCTCGGCCTCTCCTCTGATCCCCAGGCTGTGGATGACTACCAGGTTGGGGGGTAGCCCGCTGCCCGCAGCCCTCCCCAACATACTGCCTTCTGCACAGCCCCTCAGTGCCTGGACCTGACACAGCCAGCCCATATTCCACTTAGGGCCATAACCTTCATCTATCTCTCTCGGGCTTGAAACATTAGATCTTCACAATGTCTCACCAACTTCTCCTGATTTATATCTCTACATGATAGAGTATTTCTTGTCCACTTACACAAATAAAGATCTTGTCCATCATCATCACCCTCTGGTTTTCCAAAAACTCATTTCTGCCAAAATGCAAACTTTTACTTATATATCCACCCAGGGTGCTGCCACAGGGATCATTATTCTAAGCCACAGCTATAACCACATCACTTCTCTCTGCCCCTCCACTTCCTCAATGTACCAAGCCCTCTTGACTTTCAAAGCCTGTTCTAGTCTCCCTCCCTTTGCCCCTGCGTTTCCTTCAATGATTTAAAAGGGCTGGTTTCATCTCTGGCCAAATGATGACACCAGGCTCCACTGCCTCCTTGTTATGTATTTGACCAAGTGTGTACTGGGAGGGCAGGTTTTTTGGAGGGGTATTAGCAGACTATTCTACTTCAAATCTCTTCTGTAAAATCTCCTTTGCCAAGCAGCTGTGAACAACTGGCTTCTGACTATCACACTGGTCCAAAGGGTCACACTGTCTCCTATTGCTCTTGCACACAGGCACATCCCTCCCTCCTGACTTCAACTATAAACCCCCTTCAGCCAAGGGCTGCGGTTTTGCCTGCTGCTTGCACGCTCCTGGCACACTGGGGTCCTCACCCACAGCAAACACTTCGCTATATGACCGAAATAAAAAAGATAATCGAGGCTAACAGCAAAAGAAGCTACTCTGGTTAGTTTTAGGCCGAATGTAACACATGGCCACCACGGCTCCTGCTAAGATCAAAAGCAACAGTGCAACGAGGTCCTCAGATGAAACAAGATGAAGTGCAATGCTAGCCGGGCCGGTACTCCTGCACGAGAGCATCCCAGAGCACCTGGATTTTACATTCATCATTAAACCCGCGTGCTCTGTTAAGAAGCAGCTGGGGCAGTTTAAAAATACGACCATGTTACTGCTGCCAGTCTGGAGACATGCCTGACCTGAATACACCCAGCTATTTTTAGCGCATGGTTGCACTCCTTTCAGCCATCCTGTATTTATAAAACGGAAGTTATGAGGAAAGTTGTTCTTGGCTGGCACCGGGAAGACACAGCCAAGCTAACAACAGGCAAAGCAATTCAAGAAGTGCAACAATAGGAGCTCTCCATTTTTTCCTTCTAGATGTTAAAAGTGTTGAAAGTATTTGGTCAAAGCCGACTGCCTTAGTATGCTCCCAGGGTGCTGTTAATCAGGGAAAATCAGAGGACAGGCTGGGTCTCCCTGTGCGCGCACGGAAGGGAAATTCCCTCCCCCCAGTGCAATTCAATTGACACCAGCGGGGATACCTGTCACACCTCCCTGCAATTTTAAAAGCTCAGGGCCGCTGCAGAGGCGTTCATCCGAGCGGCGCCTGCTTCTTTGTTCCCTTCTCAGCCTCCCGAGCCCCAGCCCCGCCGGCGCCCGAGGCAGGCACCGGGCCTGCGCTTCCCCGCGGCCCGGCCGCGCCGCACCGCACCGCACCGCGCACGGAGCCCGCAGCCCTGCAGGTCACCCCCCCCCACCACCACCCCTCCCGGCGCCACGAGAGAGGGACTGCTCCCCACCCACGCGAAACTCGCGGCGGGGTTACCGCGTTCAGGTTAAAGAAAAGCGGCCGCGCAGACTTCCCCTCAGCACCGGGGCGTGGAGGGGAGGAGGGCGGGAGGAGAGCCTGGAGGGAGGCTGTCACCCACCGCCCAAGGCCTCCCGCCGCCGCCCCCCGCGGGACCCCGCAGCCGCCCCCGCCGCACCTGTGCCGGCGCTCGCTGCCCCCCGGGCGGGGCCGGGGCCGCCGCCGCCGCCGCCGCCGGAAGGTGCGGGGCCGCCCCTGGCTGCGCGGGGCGCGGCTCCGTGCGCGGCGGCGGAGGGGGGGGGGGGGGGGGCGGCGAGGCAGCGCTATTGCCACCGCCCCCCCTCCTCACCACCACCCCTCCGCGGGCGGGAGCCGCTTTCGGTTTCATGGCAACTCCCGGGCGGGGAGAGGAGCCGGGCGGCGGCCGCAGGGCCCGGGGGCAGCACCGCGCCGCTCCCGCGTTAGGAAGGAAGCGGTGGTGCCTCCTTCCCCCCCCCCCCCCCCCCCCCCCCCAGAAACGGCAGCGCCGCTCAGCTTCGGCCTCAGCCGAGAGCTCCGGCCCCCGCGGCTTCGGCAGGCTGCCCTCCGCCGGCGCGGGGCTCGGCAGCCCCCCCAAACGCTGTGGAAGATGGGATAAAGCCAGGGCAGCGGCCCGCCACGGGCTGGGAAGGGAGTTCTCCGGGACGGGGTCAGGGCGGTCCGTGGCGAGGAGCGCGGCTGTGTCGGTCAGGATCAGCAGACTTACCCGCTCCTCATCTGGGCGATACACCCTGCTCACATCTCCGCCTGCCTCCAATACAGTTACTTTTAAAATTATTATTATTTTTACCTCTACGGTTCCGAAATAGCAAACCAAGCCGCATGTTAAATAAGCAAAGAACACAGACATCAGCTACTACCACGTGCCAAAATTATTTGCTAATGACTCAGGACGTACCAAAGGATTTTTTACAAACACAACGCAGCCATCCTCCCGCCAACAGTACTGATGCAATTGTTGTACTGCTCGTTCCCCATCACCTACTGCTGCACCTTGTTTCATCTTTCACATTAAACCACTTCCAGGAAAACCAGTCTCTAAGGAAAATGACATACAAAACCACTAAGGCTGATGAAAAAAGAAACAATCAGAAAAATAAGCAATTGAGTTGTCTTCTGGATTGTCTTAAGAGGAGCTCTAAAAAGAATAGTAATAATATGGTTTCAGAAAGATTCTTCTTTTGCTCAAATGACTCAGTCTTGCCACTGCCGTGGGTGTCAGTCCATACTGCATCGATTCTGGGGGTCCAGCAGAGGTGTAGAGGCCATGACTACAACAGAGACCTTTTAAAACACTCCCTCCTGCAAAAATGGAGGACTTATTTTTTTCTTTTCTTTCTTAGCTTTTAGGAATATTCTGATTAGTCTACTACTTTTCTGGGAAGTCCACAGGAACATCCATCAGAGCAACAGGCATTACGTTGCTGTAGAGTAAATATTTATAAATGTAAATTAATAGCTTCTTTGGAGATGGGATTGGGTTCCCAGTGCGGACATTTGTTGCACTCATGATCCTCCTATAGCAGAACATACGTTTTGTTTATTATAATAAATAAATAATTGCCCAGAGTGGGCCTTTGCAGTGACAAAGATTTGTCAAAAGGTTCATCGAATATCAGGGTGCAGGCTATGCTTTTAAAATCACAATTCTTAAGATTCAGTGAGCATAACAGGAAGCCTGGTTTGCTTTAAGGCAAAGTCATCTCCCTGAAGCAGCAGTAAAGATCACAGTCCCTGAAACTCAGGGCTTCCTTTTGTGCCAGTCCAAGGGAAAACTTCCACGTCAGTAACAGCAATGAGGATATATTTTGCAGCTATAGTTATTTCAGTGTACCAAGCTACACTGAGAGAGACCTTTAAGATTAAAGAATAATTTACGCAACTCCAAAGTAGCAGCCTTCAGTAGTGGTGAAAATGAAGCTTTTTTTTTTTTTTTTCCTAAAGTTGCACTGTAATATCAATTTTAAGGATGTCCGTTACAAAAAATGGGCCAGTTACTTATTAAATAGTCCAGATACTGTTGTCTGTGTATTTTTCCTCTCCTCCCTGACTAGATTTCTGATGCCAAATCCACGAGTAACAGATTACAAGTGGCTCTCACAACTTCCTGTGATCTTAAAAGCAGATGTGTATCGCGACGGTGCTTGCTTTTAACTTGCTCTGAGAAAGGCAAACTCTGAGGTCTAGCTGTTTCAACCTCAGGAAAAGCTGGAGGTTCACCACATTTATTAAAACTACCAAGTTGTAGTCAGTGCAATTTACAGTACACCATGTTGCACTGCAGCTGTGGCAGCTGCTAACTCCTCTGTGGCTTCCTTTGCATTTTGAAACGCACCTCTAAGCAAACAATTTCAAGACATTTGCCTTCGCCCTGGCTTTGCTTTTGCCCGACAACATTTCTGCAGCTGTAACTTCAGTCCACTCCTTCCTTTTGCTAGCAAGTGGCACAATGTACCTCTGTAACCTTCATCCTAAACTCTTCCCTGAACTCTGCAGTTCTGCTCTATTTGTACACAAACTCCCACATCTGTAAGCTATAGGTTTGTGTTCTCTTTTCTATGAACTGTCTAGTTTCCAGAATAAATAATGTATGATTTAAGAAAAATCCCAAGACTATAAAGATGAAAAGAAACCTAAGAACAGAGGTATTTATAATTCCTTTTGCTCACAATCAACTGTAAGACAAATTAAACTGCTTTACTATAATATACAATGTTTAGTGATTGTTTTATTAATGCAGAAATACCTGCTTAACTTCATACTCATTCTGATTTAAAGTGCAACAACTAAATCTGATAGCTCTTGTACATCCGTATTTTGCAAGTGTTGTTCCTAGAAGACAGGTTGTTCAGGTTACGCCTTGTATTTGTAAAATCTGTCATTTTTTAGTACTGTTTTGCTTTATTAACTAAAATAAACTGTACAAAAAGCTATAGTTACATTAGCTTTGAACAATGTAGGATACACGTTCTCTGCCAAACTTTAGTGTGCAAACATTTTACATTTTTTAAAGTGACAAAATTAAGCCAACCTTGAAGTCAGAGTTCATTACTACATTACAAAACAGGAGACTAGATATGGCAAAAGAAATTCCCCACTGAAATCAACACCATTGTATAATTTTATTTCTAATTCTTAAAAAAATATAAATGAATTTAGAAGAGAATCACAGTATAAGGGCCCTAACATATTAGACCATTACAAGGTACATAAAAATAGAAGACACAGATTTCTTTGAAACTTTAATCCTTTGATTAAGCAGCAAGCATATCACTCTCCAGGCAAACACTGCTTAAAACAAACCCTACCCCCCAAAACAGGACGTGCAAACTGTATGCACATATGCTGCAAAGCACACAATAAAGACATTTTGCTATGTACATACTTATTTAGTACTACAAATGCTAGGAGTTCCCTACTGTGTGCTACAGTGTATGTAAATTAAGAAATACTACCTATCTCTGACCCTCCCTCCCCCCTTCAAATACAGCACCTTTGCCCAGTTATAGAATATTTAAACAAGATTAAACGGAATTACAATGTACTGAACAGTTTTATAGCAGTTGGTGGTGGCCAACTGTACTGCAACACCCAACATTCTGCATACTGAAGTCTATCGACAAGAGACAAGACAAAAATTAGCAAAGGTACAATACACACACCTGGGAGACTCAATGCTTAAAAAAAAAAAAAAAAAAAATTGAAATCCTGAAGATGTATCTTATCACCGTTAACAATTAAACTGAGATACTTAGGATATCAAAATGTACCGAATCAGTTTCATATCAGTTTTAAAGTCTGGAGAGCAGCCAGGTTTGTGTGTAGCTGGTGAGGGGACACTTATGACTCCCAGAACACAAGTTTCAGTGACCATGAATTTCTCAGTGCTTTTTTTACAAAGCTACTTTTCTTTGATAACAGGTCATCTGATGCTCATGTAGTGGCTAAGTATCTACTCGGATGCAAAAGAAAATTTGTAAGAAGGACCTTTTATATGAGACCTCAGCACACCAGTGAAAGCTGTTTGAAAAGGAAAATATCTCAACTTTAATCTGAAAATATTTTTGAATAAAGAACTAACCCATAAAGGTCAACAGCTTAACTGCAATTCAGACCACAATTATCAAGCTTTAATACTAGATTTACAGATTAAATAGCATCTGATGCTGTAAGAACTTCCCTTTGCACATAGAAAAAGACCTTAGCCAGCTGCTAAACTGATTTTTAGACCATCCAATCTAACTGTGAAAACAGTGTAGGGAGAGCACATTCCAATTTCAAATAAAATCTCATTTTAGTCAAGGGCAAATCTAGTTAATAACAGAATGGATTTAAAAGGGTTTTCAAACACCATTTCAGCTATAAGCAAAAATAATTTTCTAAATAGTATGGTAGTCAATGTGAATGTTATTATATAGACAAAAATGCAGTATTTTTCAATAGCCTGATTCAGATCACACAAACAGTGCTACTCAAATTTGCAGCCTGGTTTACTCGGAGGGTCGAGGCATCTACTTTTTTAAAAGAAACCAAAAAAAAAAAAACAAAAAACCCACCCCCAAAACTCTGCTGGACATAAATCAATGTTTTAGACAAGAATGCAGTGGAAAGAAAACCTTTCAATCTCCTAAAATTTGGAAGCAATAATTAATAGCCAAATGCAGATTTTACTTAGTCAGTAAAACAAAGCAAACAAAAAAACCCCACGACAGCCTCAAGCCAGCTAATCAACTCTGCCAGAAATAAATGCTTATCTCTGATTTCTGCTAACAGTAAGACTGGGCTGGCAGCAGGTAACTACTGCCACAATATTGTACTACCACCGTCAGCCTCTGGACTTCCCTCACAAATTCTTAGGCAATGTATCAAGGATCTAACATGTATGAACCGCACACAGCAGTTCTCAGAGGAATTAAATGCTACTGGTACTTAAATTGGAAGAATTAGTGGAATAACAAATTAATGGGTCTTGCTATATGGTTCCTCTCCTGTCATCCCCCTGGGTGGTGGAAGTTGCTGCCTCTCTCTCCGCCCCAGCCTTCAAGAGACATTGCAGCAGGAAACTGGACTTGTGTTTTCAGTTAAATTCTATGAGCAGAACACATATGAGATTTAATAAGTTTGGTACAATAGCTCACTGAGTCTTCAGAATACTCTTTCAGAGGAGTATTTAATAAGACAGTACCTTTTTAAACAAGAAAAATTGCTCTGGGAAAAACACGAAGAAGAAACACCTACATTTTACAAGTGCATGAAATGCTTCTACTGTTATCTAAACAGGGCCAAAAATTCTGAACCTAAGGCCATTTTTTTTTTTTTTGCACTAAAAGATAAAAAAACTTCACACACACAAAAAAAAC